ATCCACATATTACATTTCATATGACCCTGGGTTAAAAAAATTGAATTCACAAATCAAAGCGATAGTTTCCACGTCGTGATTAATGATAATCCGTAAAATTTATAATAATAACACACATAGACAAATCATATATTCGGATTTATTCCACCATTTCGGAAATAAATTCTAAAAATCCGAAATATTTCGGAACTAAAAATTGGATTTCGCCCACAGCATTATTGAAGATTATATTAATCAAGTCTACTTCATCTACGAGATTCAGTAAAAATACTCCAACCAACTTGATAAAGAAGCATATAAAAAATATCAACTTACTGATAAAAAACCAAAAGAATAGTAAGAAATCTATTAAATGTTCAATTTCTATGGAAATATATATGAATATAATTATTTTATGAATCTGAATTGATCCGTCAAGGCATCAGGATAATTTCTAGAACAAACTATTACAAAAAACATGTTGGAATTAAAAAAAACTCCAAATGATTTATTCTTAAAATTGATAAAAATTAAATAATTAAAAATCCGGTTTCTATTTGAAATTTGGTGTCTAGGTGATCTGCACCGCAATGCTTACGCACGTGCTATTTATTACCCAATCATTTCTATTAAAATAGCCATAAACCTTATTTTATTTTGGCGTTTTTTTTTGTGATTTTAATTTCCAAAAAAAAAAAAAATGCATATTTATTTGTTGTTATTATTATTATTGTTGGCAAGTAAATTAACTGATTAGATATTGTTTAATTACAAATAACAAATATCGCAGCTCTCACTCGAAAAAAATAATTTTTTTCTTTCACTTTATGAAAAAAATAATAAAAAAATGGAAAAAGGAATTTTTTTCAAAGTTTTAATTTTGAATGTGATATTGCAAATTTCTATAGCTTCAATTTGTAAACTCTTTAATTATGATAATGTTGATGAATTATGGGATTTGACAATTATTCATACAAATGATGTTCACTCCAGATACGAGCAGATAAATGATGCTGCAACTGATTGTACTAAAGAGCAAGAAATGAAACTCAAATGTTATGGAGGAATTGCAAGGCAGAAAACTGTCATTGATAATTTAAGGAAGCAAAATAAAAACAGCTTATTATTAGATGGTGGTGATCAATTCCAAGGTAATCTATTTTATTTATTTTTGCAGCTAATATTTTAATTAACTAACTGACTAATTGATTGATTGATTGATTGATTTTGGTTATTAATTTTTTCTAGGGAATTTATTCTTTACTTATTATGATGTAAGTGTTACAAAAAAAGTTATCAATGTATAAAATACCAAATTAATTAATTAATCAACAATTATTAAATATTTTAGGGACTCGTTAATTCAAAAGCCATGGTAAGATAATTCAAATTTATTCCGATTTTTATTTTAATGCGTATTTTTATTAATTAAAATCTTGGAACGAAAATAATTTTTATTCAAATAATTTTCAGAATTTACTTGGATACAATGTTACAGTAAGTGCTTTATTTTTTTTATTTATCAATTTAATTAATTAATTAAATCAATCGATTCATTCATCTCATATTATTATGGCTTCATAAATTTTTTCAGGGAATTGGTAATCATGAATTTGACAGAGGACCAAAAATTCTTGCAGAACATCACTCCAGATTAAACTTTCCAGTTGTTTGTTCTAATGTTAACGCAACATTAAATCCAAATTTTGCTAAAAATATTAAACCATATCATATTTTTGAAGAATACAATCTGGCTGTTATAGGCTATATAACTGACACGGCTGGTGGTATTTCCAATTCAGGTTCAACTTTGGAATTTTATAATCCAATTCCAATCGTACAACATTATGTTGACGAGCTAAGATCAAAAGGAATTAAACGAATTTTGACAGTGTCACACAATGGCTATGTTCCTGATAAAGAATTAGCTGCAAAAACTCATGGCGTTGCAGTACATATTGGTGGTCATAGTCACACATTATTATTAAATGACACAACATCGAAAGATTATGTCTATGCGCAAGGCCCATATCCAACCTTAATTAAGAATGCCAAAGGTGAAGATACATTGGTTGTTCAAGCATATTGGTCTGGTAAATACATGGGACATCTCGATGTTTCATTGGATAAAGAAGGTAGAGTAAAAAGTTATTCAGGTGCTCCAATTCTGCTCAATCAATCAATACCTCAAGATCCCGATCTCGACAAGTTGGTAAAGGAATGGAAGCTACCATTTGAAAATTATACCAAAACTGTGATTGGCCGAGCTGAAAGTGCTTTTGATCAAAAAGATTGTCAATTGAAAGAATGTGAGATGGGAAATTTGTTGACTGATTCTATGCTTTGGGCCAGAAAAGATGTTCCGTTTGCCTTTGTTAACTCTGGTAGTATCAGATCAGGTCTATCAAAAGGTAATATAACAATAGAATATGTTAAAACCATTTTACCATTTGGTAATTCATTGGTTGAAATTGATGTCACTGGTCAAAATATAACTGATATGTTGGAAAGCGCTGCCAGCAGACTTCGAAATATAATAAGCAATAAACCAGTGACAAGTTTCATACAAATTAGTGGACTTAAATTTAAATACGATTCCTCCAAGAAAGTTTATGAAAGAATTTTGGAGGTAAAAATCAGAAATCCAAACAACAATGATAATTATGAAGATTTGGATTTAAATAAAACTTATAAAGCTCTGACACTTGACTTTATAGCTAATACAGGAGATGGGTAATTACGCATTTATGTATTTTTCATCTATAGATATTTACATGACACACAATACTTGACCATGAAATGCACTGATTGCTTATTAACATTGACATCATTTATTTTTGTTTTTTTTTTTGCAGATTGCTTCCTTACCCAACTAAAACAATTGAACTCGAAGCCATTGATTCTACATTGCAAAATTATATATCAAAATCAAAAGTAATTAAACCATTTATCGAAGATCGTATAATAGATGTAGCTCAAAAGCTTCAATTAGTTGAAAATCAATTATCAATTCACGAACCAATTCATTTCGGATACACAAAATACTCTCCACAAGAAACAAATCAACAATAGGAAAGAGTGTTTGAAGAAGAAGATGAAAAATCGATCTTCTAATGTCATATTTAAATTATTTACATCTAATTGTGCTGATTGTACTTGATGATTAATTAAATGTAAATATAAATCAAATGTAATTTATATCAAATAACCAGTTGTATTTCTTATATATAAAATATGATTTTCAATTTTGTAACCATATCACGGTAATGTTTTATCTGATCACTTTCTCGAGGTCTCAACAATCTATCCTCTACTTGTAGTGAGACATTGCTTAATTGCACTCCAAAAAAATACAAGCTATTATTCCAAATTTACATTGGTCACATAATAATGCGTTACAAAAGTTAATAAATAGAAAAAATACTCATACAATGATTCTAACAATAATTCCTAAATAAATTTTATTTTAAAACCCTTCTTTATAAGTTTGAATTGAAGCCAATTTAACGTCAAATTTTGGTGGGTATCATGAAAATAAAAATAAAATAAGACACCACATTATATCAACACGTATTCTTTAGGAGACTCATGCTCTGCCATCTTTGAAAAATAAAATAATAGCGTAAACAAAAAATTTATTATTATTATTAAAATCTCTTTTTTTAAAAAAAAAGTCTTTCAAAAAAAAAGAAATCAAGAAAAAGAATTGGTTGAAAGAAGTTAAGTGTTTATTAAAAAAGGATGGTATTTATTGCCACTCGTCGTCACTCTAGTTCTATTAAAAAGAATGTTGGTGATGGTTGCAATCCTCGTGAAAATTATTCCTAATAGGATTTTTCAAAACTTGCTCCCTTCTCTGGGGAAAACTTTTTTCCTGCTTTCTGTAACTACCAAAAGTCTATATTAATATTGAAAAGTCGACGCGCTATCACGTGAGCTCTAGAATAATTATAATTGAGATATTGGGGTATCTTAGACCTCACCAGAGAAAGTTTATTGAAACTAAAAGAAAACTTTGAAAAAGATATGGATTTCTTATCACAAGACTTTTTAAAATAATTGAGATTGACCAAAAAAACTGCCTTTGCAATATGTGATTCACATCAAAATTCTATTGAGTTGGTAATCGGTCCCAAAAGACCAGTCTTTGGGACCGAGACTGGACCAACACAACCTTGGTACTAGTCACAACAATAGAGTTTTTTTCCTAGCCCTGATATTCTACCATGCCGTGGAACTTTACACGATACCTAATGTAATCGGTTTGACACCGAGATATAAAATCCATTGATTAGAACTCGAGATAAAGTTACGTAGTAGGGAAAATTTTTACCCATTTTTATCCATTTTCAAAAAAGTGACATTATTAAATACAGAAATATCATCATCAAAAGACATTTTCATTAAATAATAAATAGAACCAGATGTTCTGACAATATGGCTTTTAAAATGGGCACAGAATGGCAAATATAATTTTTTTGATGTGATGTGCGATGTTCTATAATGATTCTGGAAGACAAGAATATTTCTATCAGGTACGTGCTTTCTTTTCAAAAAAAATTCTGCAATCATATATGTCATCCATTTATCCATAATAATAATAAATTATGCAAACTACATACAATTTATATACGTTTTTCTATGCATATCAATACTATAAACACAACATAATTGTGGGAAAAGTGAAAGAAATATGGAGCGTTCTCACAAATTAGTCTGATTAAGGTTATTTGATTAAATTTATCCCTACAAGATAATTTTATTTGTGTGGCATTAACAAATCTTCCTGTTTGGAAGAAAAGAAAAAAGTCAATCATTGTAATTTATGTAAATATTAAAAACAATTTTGGGAAGAAATAAATTGGCCCGGAAGATTTATTTTCAAGCATTTATTATTATTTCTCACTGGTAATTATTATTATTGTCCAATGGAAATCTATAGATAGATAGATGTGAGATTTAAAACCCTAAACATTTCCCCAATTCCCATATTGTTTTTTTTATTGAGAATTTTATAAAAGATGTCCGAGACTGAAGAAAATTTAAATATTCAATTGATTCAAGAAATATTAAACGAAAATCCAAATAATGTAAAACAATTGTTGGAAGAGGGAGCTGATGTTTGGTATAAAGATGATAAAGTAATTAATTATATTTGTATCATCATCATCATCATTTATTTATTTATTTACTTGGTTATTATTTATTAATAATGATATAGGGTAAAAGCCCTTTACATTTTGCATGTGACAATGGAAATAAAGAGATAGTTAGTTTATTAATTCAGCACGGCCATCCTTGGAATGTTATCGATAATGATAACGTAACTGCTGGTGAATATTCTAAGCGTAATGGTCATGAAGAAGTTTATAATATGTTGGTTGAAGAAGGATGTAGAGCTGAATTAATACTTGGTTTGTAACCATATATTATGTATTATATGTATATATGTTATTATAATAATCATTTATAATTCTTTTAGGAATGATTGATAGAAAGGAAAAAATGAACAATTCATCAAACCCATCAAATATTGAATATTTATCAAAACCGCTTAGATATTCTGAGGATGGTAGCAAACTATTTGATCATGAAAACAATGGAGTGATGATGGGATGGGAGAAGCCATTGATGGTGAGACATGCTGAAATATTGTGTAGTAGTAGTCACAGTAGTGGTAGTAGCAAAGGTAAAGAAAACCTTAATATTCTTAATATAGGTTTTGGTCTTGGAATCATTGACACTGAAATTCAAAAATACAAACCTCTCCATCACACAATTGTTGAAGCACATCCTGATGTTTATAAATTTATGATTGAACAAGGCTGGGATAAGAAACCAGGGGTAAAAATTATATTTGGTAGATGGCAAGATGTATTGGATGAGTTGTTATTAACGCTGAGTGTAGATGGTGAAATGGGTTATGATGGGATATTTTTTGATACATTTGGTGAATATTATGATGATTTGCATGATTTCCATGAGGAATTGCCAAACTTGCTTAAATCTGATGGTGTTTATTCATTTTTTAATGGATTGGGTGCCACCAATCCATTTTTTCATGATGTTTATTGTCGAATTGCAGAACTTCATCTTGCTGATGTTGGACTTTGCACTCAATTTGTTGAGATGGCTGTCAATTTATCAGATGTTGAAAGTAAAGAAATCTGGAAAGATGTAAAATCTAAATATTGGACTTTAAATACTTATCATTTACCAATTTGTAAATTCTTATAATGTAAAGAAAAATCTTCAGCTTTTATATTTAAGCAAAATTTTTGGTAGATAAAGTTATATTTTTTGCATCTTTTATTTTTAATTATTTTTTTTAAAGAGTTGCAAAGGATGGAGGATTGATAATAAATAGTTATTATAATGAGAGTAGAATTTTTAGCAAAGAAATTTAATCAATTAACATTATTAATTATCCTATTATAAAGTTGTCATGGTTGTAAAGGCGATACCCCTAATATATGATGCTCACATGAGGACCCGACACCATCTATACAATAAAATTATATAATTAAAAATATACATACCATTTCATCAAATGTCAAAAACATAATTCAGTAATTAAAAGCAAAAGTACAGGTTTTCAAAGTAAGTTTTCATATCAGGCAACATACAAGCATACGCAATCATTGAAACACTTTAGAGCTTTTCCTGCCTATATTTTGTAGATCCCAATCCATGTATTCAGCTTTGTAGAATTTATCACTATCACCAATACAATTGGGGGCTCTTCATATTCGTCTAGCATCTCCCATAAATATCACGTATAATTTCTTCTCCGACTGTAACCATTTCTATCAGCATCTAATGAATATGGGTGTTGTTGTACTTTTGGCAAAATTTCCTGATTTTTGATTCTTTTGATGTCAGTGTTTCCATATCACAATTGAAAACTTCCCAACACCTTGTTACAAGAAATCATCAGAACATATTTGTGGCGCTTAATGCACATAAGACTATTGAAAACTTTGGAAAGGAAAAAGGTAATGAAAAAATTGCATAAAAAAAAATATACAAAAAATTATTTTTCATTCATTCCATTTTGTTTATTTATTTGGTATACTGCTCACGACTTTTTATTATACCTGATCCGTCTCCTCCTGCCATATAGATGAAGTCAATTGGAATGATGTTGAATCAATTTATAGCTGGATAAAACCATTGAAGCATTCTGATGAAACTTTTACACCCAAAGTATGGTTTGTTTGTTTTTTGATTCTGATTACACACTAATTTATATATATACTTAATCAGTTAATGGATTCATATGGTGCCAAGTTTCCCTTGCAAGGTCGAGATGAAACAATGAGGACATTATTTGAAGGTTCTAGAAGTCGGAGTGGAGTTTGCCAAAGATTTAAAAACCTCAAGACAAAAGACTGAAACAACCACCCTATCCCCCGTCTTGGCTAATGGACCAGGCATAGGAAAAAGTAGATTCCCCCAAGAACTTCCCAATTTACTCTATATAACGAAACTGAATATTATACAGATGACAAAGAACTTTTAGATGTGATCAAAAATCGAATGTACACCGTCAATGTTACCTTTGGAAATAGCACTGTTGCATCACCAGAAGATGTGCCCACTGCCAAGGGATCGAATACTCTATGAACATTTTATCTCTGGTGGGCCTTGTGAATATGAAGATTTTCAGGAGAAATGTAGCCATAAGATTAGCCATGCACTTGGGGTTGTTCTCAAGGATGTTAACAGTGATAGGAATTTTGATAATTATATTAAATTTATTGTCCTCAGCATTAATGAGCTAAACCTTTTGCACAAGTGTGGTAAAGAGTCAGATCCCCAAGGAAATCCAGCTCGTCAAATTGTACATTCTGCTGGAAGTTTGGGTTGCAGTAGCGGAGATATACTCTATCTACCAATCTTATCTGGCACAATTCAGGGTCCTCTTGAAGAAGTGTTCAGAGAATCAACATATATTTATTTTCACTTACCACTTTGCCTTCTTCAAGATGAGGAGGTGTGGAATATTAGCAAAGTATTGCTGACTCCGAACTCTCACTATCAAACTATATCAATAATAACAAGACCTTTAATTGCTGCGTTAGTGACCTTGGTGGACAGGTCTGAGCTCCCCACCAGAAAGGATTAAAAAAGTTTTTGCTCCTTTGGGCAATGAAAAGGATTCAGAAGACATTTCGTCCAAGGTGAAAAGTAAAGTGGAAATCATCTGGATCTTTTTTATAATGATTTATCAAATAAAGTCAAGCGTAAAACAAACAAAGTTGATTTTGTGCATTGTATAACAAATGTCAAGGGACTAATTTTAGATCTATATCCATTTGGGCAACTTGCAAACATTATAACACCAGCAATTGCATATTAGCAGGATGTTTTTGTTATTTGTAATCATGAGAAGATTATAGCTATCTTTATCACCACCTATTGTGTAAAAAATTAGTCATATATACAATAATTTTCAAACACAAATATTTATAATAATAAAAGAATAAATATTATTTCATTCTCTTACTGTTGATAATATGGAATTTCAGCATTATTTTTATAGGATAATAGAAGAAAGTGTACAGAGAATTACAGATTTTGCCACTTGATTGCAAATAGTATGACAACTCAGTTGATAGATATAACTTCTATAAATCTGATTTACAGATGGCATCATTAGTCATTACAATTTGTATCAATTCTGAATACCAAGTAACATCAAAATCATTTGAATACCACTTCAATTCCCTCACTTTCTTTTCACAATATTGATCTTAATCATTATCATTTTCTTTACTGATGCAGTAATGTGTATATAATAAAAACATCAATATCTTTAAACAAAAAAGAATGAAATTCAAAATATTTCTTAATTGAATAAATTATTTTCCTAGCCATTGAATTGGTTTAGAGTAATTTAGTGAGTATATAAAGTATATAGACATACTGCTATAATTTTTATACAGTGAGGATAACAATGAACTGTTATAGAATATGTTAGCAAGGAATTGGTATTGTGTAGTGAAGTAATTGAAGTAATTGTGATATTTAAAATTGAATTAGAAAGGAAAGGAAATTGGATTGTGGAATGTAGAACTAAAGTAGACCAGGAAAACTTTATTGTATGTGAACCAATTTTCTGAACACATTTGATAATGCAAATCAAGATAGCCGAGAACATACAAAATTTTACCTATATAGTAGATAATTTATTAATTAAAATACTTTTAAAACAAATTGGTGTATTTAGATTGTTGGTGTAATGGTTTTTGGGAGAAAAAGGCAATTTTTGCTTTTCAATATTCTTTATATGAATAAGCATAAACCATGCTACAGATTTGATTTATTTTAGATTACAGTGTTTGTATATAATTTCAGCTACTAATTTGCCATTTTAGTTTCAGTAATCATTTATTAAGAGAGATGACTTCCACTAACATCTATGATTAAATTCTCAATAACAGGGTATTGACAATGCAAATGGACCCTTGAGTCATCAGAACTTCATGATGGCAGAAAATGACGAGGAACAAAATTTAAGCAAGCAATATTGAAGACAAATTGGACTGTACGTGGATATGAGGTGTTAAATGTTTTTTGAAAGAAAGAAGAGAACTAATGGTAAGCCTTTTTATTTTTTGAGGTCTTTTTAAATGTGTTCTTTTATTTACATATAATAACGAGTTTAAAAATTATTATTAGCATTCGTTTCTAATTTCATTTCATAATGGTAATCAATCCAACATTATTCATTTCATTGGATTTTTATTTAAAAATAATAAATTTTTATCTAATTGAATTAATCCCTTTATAAGGTCATATTCATAAGTGGGTGAAATTTAAGGTGACATTAGCTTAAAGTTATAAAATTTATTAATAGTTTTGCATATAACCTCTAATATGTAGCCTGACAAATAGAAACGGGTGATGTTTCCCAAAAGTCAATTTTGAGTTAATAACACTCCTATGTGTGTATAACAATAATGATTGGCCTTCTTGGAAAATTCTTCGAAGAAATACATTGCTTTTGCAGATCCCGAAAATATTTGATGCAGAAAATGTGTAACTGATGGCTTTTTTCATTTTTATCGGTGCGGATCGGTCTCGATTTTTTAAAAACAAAAGCACCTTCTAACCATAGTGTTAGCGGTCACATTCGATAGAGTTTTCCCGATCCTAAAATTACTGAAAAGTTAAAATCACGTATTTATCTCGGACGCAATCTCACATTATCTATTTTTTTAATGAGATTCGATCACAGTTTTTAAAATTCAAAACATAACATACATAATACATAATTCTTTATAAATAAATAGTGCATGTTATTTAATACACTACACCACATATCTATTTTTATTTAATTCGATTTTTTTCCAAATTCATTCACATTAAATATAATAATTTAACATTCTCTTTCTTCCCTTTCATTAAAATCCCAAAAAATATTTACACATTCATTCATAAACACAATCATTCTCAACTAATTCGTTGATTAAATAATTCATTCTTTTTTTGCTTTTCTTTTCTTCTCTATTATAATATCCATCGAAAAAATTAAAATTATAATGGTAAAATTCGGCAACTTTGATAGAATTTGTCAGGAAATCGCACTTACTTTATGTCCTCTTGTTGGCTCTGAAGCAGGTATAGAGCCAACATGTTATTCAAGAAATATCGAAATAGCAGGAATGTTGATTTTTCAACCAGGTGAATATATAAATACATAACATCATAATATTACGAGCATAAAGTACAAAGTACAAAATTATATTTCATTTTTTAGCTACAATTATTGTACATGTAATTGCTCTTGTCATGACGACCATTATGATTTATCATATAAAATCAAAATACACTGCAGTCGGTTGGTAATTTCTTGACATGTTTTTTTTACAATAAAACACAACAATATTAGTAATATTAATTTACTTGATTAGGTCGTAAGGAAATGGTAATGTTCTTTTATTTGTATATGATGGTCACTTTTCTAGAATCATTGCTTACCTCTGGCATTATTCCTACCGCATCCGAAGCTTATTCTGTAAGTTACCTATATATATATCTCTTTGTTTTTTTTTTTTTGCAATTTTATTTTTTAATTAATAATTTTTTTTTCTCCTAAAAAATACTTTTTTATTTTTAGTATTTCACTGCTGTGCATATTGGTCTTATCACAACAACATTTTGGTGTTTATTATTTAATGGCTTTATAGGATTTCAATTTATTGAAGATGGCACACCATTATCAATTTGGGTAGATATTTATTTTTGCTTTTCTAATAACCAATCATCATATATATATATCTTTAAATTTTAATTCTCGAATAAAAAAAAAATTTTTTTTTCAAAAAGACAATTCGTCTTTCATCGTTATTTGTTTTTGGAGCTGTCACCCTTTTAGCTGTCGCAACATTTTCATCAAAAGTAGGACTAAACCCATTACACCCTTTTATCTTATGGATAATATTATATGTATTTAATGGTGCAGCACTTGTGATCTATATCGTTCTTCAAATTCTACTAGTAATCAAAACCCTTGAAGATCGTTGGCCACTTGGTGATATTTTCTTTGGAGTGTCATTCTATGCAATTGGACAAACTACTCTTTACTTGTTCTCAGTTCGCATTTGCGATGCTGCTAAACATTATCTTGATGGATTATTTTTTGGAACAGCTTCTACATTGTTGGCTGTTATGATGGTTTACAAATATTGGGATTCCATCACAAAAGAAGATCTTGAATTTTCTGTTGGTAATAATCTGCATGTTTGGGAAGTTAAAGAATTAATTGATGACGATGATGAAATTTCCTATACAAAAACTGCCGGTCACTCGAATCTTCAACAACAACAACAACAGCAACAGCAACAGAAATATTATGAAGAAGGCTTTTAAAAATCAAAAGCATAGAATTTTTTATTTTTCAAAAAAAAAAAAAAGATATTATAGATTACAAAAATTTCTAGACTACTTAATAACACATACATAATTTAATAATAATGGATAAATAAAAAAATTCTTTTTTAGTATTAGTTTATTATTATATCGTTGCCCGAAAATGTGATCGTGCAAAAAATTTGCCACTATCTGCACGTCAAATATGATGTTAATAGACAATTTTAAAGTGGACCTCTAATTAACCAACTTGAATTCGATCCACTTTTAGAATAACTTTCTTGAATAAAGACAAACAAACAAGTTTCGACTTGAGAAACAATCAAATCATACCCGAAACCATTCGCTAGTAAAACCCTATTCAGTTTGTACTATTGCTAGACAATAGATATGTTGATCGCGTGAAATCCTGTCTGACTGACATCACCTTTTGGACGTTTTTTTCATAGGCAAATATATGGTTTCTATAACAGATACTTCAAAATTCAACCTTTTAAGACTCTAAATTTTCACGTTATATCCTGAGATGGAGTTTCTATTTGAATAATTCGAATAAAACTAATAAAACGACATTGAAGTTATTAAGGTTTATAAAACACATGTTTATGACATTCCAAAGATTGCTTTAACTAATACTTTAGAAGATTGTATGAAATTCGAGAAAAAATAGTTCTTTGATAAATAAATTATTGAACAACTTGTTTCATACGAAGATTTTGACTAGTTGGAGTAGAGATAGGTTGATCGATCAGGTGGCCTTTTGATTAATTGAGTTGAGTCAGACGCAATAAAAATAGAGATTTTGGGAATTGAGCCAAAGCCAGATTAATTTTGACAGCATTTAGATGATTTACCTTGTGGTCAAAGATAGTGTATCCTTTATCAATAGTTTTCCTGGAGACTACAAACAAGAAAATGTTAACAAAGGAGATGGTGATGTAGAAGTTATTGTTTCACCCGTAATTGGTTGAGTGGTTGCTGGCAATGATAAAGAACAAGCAAATATGTTCAGAAATTGATTTTCATAGTTATAAAAAACCAAGGCTTGTGTTAATGTGATCAGTTGCTTAAAGACCACTCACTCTATTATATATGACATGACAAAGTTTCAACATTTTATTTGTGTTAGCGAATTAAAAATAACACTATTGTGAAATTTGACCGCGCGCACCATAACATTGTTAATATTTGAGCTAAATATTCTATAATTTTGTTTACAAGAATAACATCAATTTAAATGATACTGTTTTCAGAGTAAAATGGATTTCTCCGTAAGGAATGTTGTTAATATTATGTCAATTTTTTAGTCATTTTCAATGTATTTAAATAATATTTCAGTTAGAAGTTCGAGTGGTAAAAATAGTGTAAAATCAATATTAATGATTCGTATTAATGTTCCACGTGAACTGGAATTCTGCGCCACACTTTATATAAGTTGATATATTTATTAATCATTTTATTGTTTAATCTTAATCTTTTTCATTAACCCTATAATAAAAAAAATTTCAAAGATAACATAAAAATGATGGATGAATATAATGAATTGACCATAATGATAATGTATCTCTTTGCTCATGAATATCCTTATCATCATTATAGCCTCTATCATCATATCATCATCACCGTGTCATCATCACCATCAATGTCTTAATCTACCTATTTTTACTCAATAAATCAATAAATCATTCTCTTTTTGAATGTTTGGTAAAATAATAATTATAATGAATATAGTATTATTATTACTACTACTACTACTATTATTATATATATTTTTGGTGAAAGAAGAATCCTTCAAGTAATATATGAGAAGACGAGAAAGTGAAGAAATAATTTAATCTAATCCATTTATTTAGTCCAACTGACATTGTTGATATCGAAGTCAATAATTATGATGACGATAAAAATCCTCTACCACGTAATAATTTTTTCTCTCTAATCATTTCCAGCACATGCGACATACCCTTTCGACTCTTTTAATATTATTATGCAATAAACATTAACATTGATAATAATAGTAATAATAATGACAATAACACCACAATATCAGCGGTAGAAACATCACAAATTATATACATTTACCTTTGTAGTATTATCTGAAAATTTCTTAATTCCAAAACCTTCAACTCGCTCGGTCAATCCCCAACCAAAATTACTAATAACTCTAACTTCAGTTGTGACTTGAGTGTGTTCAGGATTATTTGGATCAACTCGAAAAGTTTGCCGTTCTTCCACTTGCATAACTCTAGCGTGTGTTATGTTTTTTGTTAATGTGATCATTGTTTGAGTTTTTGGATTAATCATGGATTCTTCGAGAATATAAGCTTCAGAATTTTTAAAAAACTTTATATTGTTTATATATTAATATATGAATATTATTTATTTATTTATTTATTTATTCAATCATCCTTGTTATTGTAATCACTACTACTAAATTACTAACCCCTCTTCCCCATTTTGGTACAACTCCACGCTTCAAAATCAATCTTGTGGTTCTTAATATGCCTTTCTTTGGATCAACATATCTATCAATCACGTCCACGCTTTCAACATGAGAAGCAAATGGATTTGGATATCGCATCCAAAATGCCAAGGTTACACTATCCCATGGATATCTACATGTGAAAAAATGGTTGTTGTTTGTTTGTTAATGTTTAATTGAGAATAGCAGAATTAGAATTGTTGAAAGTTGAAATTATTAGAAATGGAAATGGAAATTGCAGTTTAATATTTATTTTTTAAAAATTTGTCGGTAAAGAAAACCTTATCGAAATATAGCACTTTTATTTTTATTTAATAATCATAATAATCATAGCAAAAGAACTTACTCATATCTAAAAGTGTGTTGAAAGAATTTAACCATTATTTTATTACTAATTGAAGAAAAAAAGTAATTTATAATTTGTAAATGGGTTTTTTGTGCAATTAATTTTATTGATTTAGATTAGATTGATTAGGTTTAATGGATCGACATCCTTTTACAAAACGACGACGTGACCTCAAGTGATCAATGGTGGTGGTGATCCACTACCAAAATAAATTTAATTTTAATATAAATTTTTTTCCATATAATTTGTATTAGTGAATGGAAATAATTCTCCAGTTTATTAAAACTTTCTAGTCGTTGACATCCCACATAATATCTATATCTGTAACAAATCTATTTTTTACCTGTATCTGCTGAAACCTTTGATGAATGCCACAATATTGAAGTCTTGAATTTGGTTGATTGTATGTATCTGAATTATTTGCTAAATTAAAAATATTCAGTCAATCCGAGATACTATGTATGAAACATAAGCCCGCTGGGGTACTCTTTGGTTGTATAGTGAAACATATAATTTGTCATAAAAAAATTTTGTTGATAAATCAACTTTAATGCTTAAAAAATTTATTTTATAATATACACTTTTACATAAACAACTGAAATAAATCAGTCACAAATGAATAAAAGAAACTTCATAGAGGCCTTTGAGTTTTGTAAAATAAAAGAACCATTTTATTTACTTACAATTATTAGGTACAAGAAAGAGGCGTAAGTAAAAACCAAAGTAAATTCGTAAACTAATTAATTGACAAGCACCGAATTATTGTGAGTTGCTTGCTATTAACTGACAAGAATAGCCCAAAAGCTAAGCCGTAATCAAAGGCTACATTGCAATATAGCCATTTAACATGAATCGGAAACTGTAAAAAATTTACTACTTCAAAATTTAATAACGAATAAAAAAATAAATAATTATAACGAATAAATTTACAGTGGATATTAAAATTAATCACTCAACGATTCTTTCTTTTAATAATAAATAAAAATATTGGGATAGATAGTAATTAATAATGAAATTTTTATTTCATCTTTGTTAACATTTTAGAGAAGAGAGTTAAAATCAAGATTATTTAATGAACTGTCATTACTTTATAACTTTTAAAGCTTTTTGATTTAGCAATCTCTTCATCTAATATTCTACTTTTATGATATGCATCTGGGTGTGATTTGTGTGCTTATTGTGAATCACTATTGACACTCCTATTGTTATTATCAATATTATTGAGAATTTCTTCGTGTCAACCTTCACAGAATCTGAGTATCTTGTCAATTTGCACTTGTTACATTTCCCAATTCATACATTACATTATTTAATTCAACCTCATAAATAACTTGTTCTTTACAGTATGTTTTTTTTTTTGACTAATGAAAAAAAATAACCTTCTTCATCAGAATAAACCACTGCATTATTGTTCATTTCATTATAAATTTTACATATAAATTCTTTTCTTTCTGGTGATAATAATTTAACATGTGGCATTATATAAATATAAAATATAAAACTTGACTCGGGGATTTTTTTAGTTACTATTACATTATTTCTTTTTTTTCTCTGAATAAGGTGTAAACAAAAAATTCTCCTGTATCTTTTCCCTATAGGATTATTAATTATCTATTACTGTCATGGTAGTGTGCGCCCTTTTCACACTAATAAATCTTAAATAAAAATTGCGCATTTATGGAGAAAGGGAAATTAACCAGCACTTTACAATTTCCATTATTACAACATATCAAATTAAAATTGGCAGAAGCTTGATTGCTCTTTAAAGCATTATTTACGACATCTAAACTAGGGCAGTCTCCTATTGTAAAATTAGTGGTGGGAGTATCTCCCGCATGGTTTAAAGAACAACTTTAACATCAACAAAATTCATCGTCAAACTTTAGTGATTGATTCATCGTGATTCTAATGCATTCTTCTTCACTATAAAGAGATTATATTAAAATCATTATGTGGGAAATTTTTCAACTCCTTATATTGTGCGATTCACTCATTACATAGTAGGTCCACTATATCAAGCGCTGACTGTAAACGTATGTTCCTAGGGAAGGACCTTCTGGTTTTGTACTTTTTTCAGCCATGTTCGCTATATGTACATATCGTTTCTTATAAATTAGGTAGGACAAACGAACGTATAAAAAGTTTGGTTGAAAATCGCTGAGAAAAAAAAATTTTTTTTGAAAAAGCTTTTCTCACTATTATTAATATAAAATCGAGGGAACTTAAACGTAAGAAGATATGGTCACGTATATATTTGGTTCCTTTGCTACAAGCAGAATCAGATCGTGATGCTTACATACGATCATTTGCAACCCTAGCAAAATAATGAAAGATATTCCAGATTGGAAGGTAGGGGAAGTGTTTATAATAACAAGAAAAGATTCATTCCATCTTCAATTGTTAATAGTATTTTATTATATTAATCATCATCATCTCCACCATCATTATCGTTGCCATCATCGTCATCATTTCCACTATCATTATCGTTGCCATCATCGTCATCATTTCCACCACCATCATTATCAAGTCCGCCTTCTTCAATTTTAATAATTTCATTTCGACTTTGATCAATATCTGGTAATTTCTCAATATCATTATCATCATTATCAAATTTGTCGTCTTCAATAATTTTAATATGACTTTTATCATCAATGTCTGATGATTCATCTGTATCATCATCAATGTCTGATGATTCCTCAGTATCATCATCATCGCCATTGTCATCCTCATTATCAAATTCGTCATCTTCAATAATTTCATTTTGACTTTTACCAACCTCTAATAATTTCTCAAGAGCATTATCATCATGATTGAGTATAGCCTTTTCTATTCGATAAATTAACTCCGCAGTGCAAAATGCAATAAACCCAAACAGAGTGGCTAATACATTATATAAGTTTGTTTCTAGAATAGTTCTATCATTTGGACATAGTATAAACGAGTAAAACCAATCGGAACGATTCTCAAATAATTTTTTTCTTAAAGTTTTTCTCGAATCAAGATGTCTAAATATAATTAATAAATAAACCATTAATCAAGGATTTAATAAAGAAAAAAACAAATACTTACTCTAACCAAACAAAACTTTTTATCGCATCTTTTACATATCTAATCTTATTGTCTCCATATTCAATTCTCGTCAATAATAATTCTAAAATATTATAATGTGCATCAGCCAATGATTTTTTTGAAACTTTCGTCTTGTCTTTAAATATAAGAATATTCATAATTTTAATTAAAGTACACTCTTAAGAAAAAAACAACAATATATAATAAAAGGCGTGCATACATACTTATAATTGATTGATAATAGTTTATTAAAGGATATAAAATTTTATTTGGTGGACTCACAGGATCCAATTTATGATAAATTATTCCAGCACTAACCCATTCTTTTTTATTTTTTTTAAATTCATTCAAAACTTCGAATAAAAGTCTATATTTACGCCCATAAAAAAATTAATAACTTCAGTTAAAGAATTTTTTTTCTTTAAAAAAAATTTAATTTATTCTCATATTAAAAACTAACCGTTTTCCTGTTATCATATTTGGATTCTCTTTATTAAAATCTTTTATGACATTTAAAGCTTCTTTAACAAGCCTTTTTGATATTAACAACTGATAAACAAATATATATATATTCATATAATTTATATATAGTTAATTTTTTCTTTTTATTAAAAAAATTAAAATGTCATCTTACTTTCACATAATATACTAAAAACATGTCATTCGTTATATCCAAATCCAAAGCCTTTTCAAATGATCTTTTGCAAAAGTCATAATATCGTATTTTCTCATTATCAATGGGTTCACCTTTACAAAATTTGATCAATGTAAATAAGAGAATAGTGAATTTATTATGTGAAATCACGTAGGTAATAAATAATAATATTAAAACAGTACTTACTAATTTTATTATAATTTTCCATTTCATCATCAATAGGCTTTCTTTTTCCTGTACTTTGCCCATTCTCATTCCCACCATCTACATCATTGTCTTGATCTGATTTTTCTAATTGTCCCAGTAATGCAAAAGCTAACAAACCAGCATAACCATTTAAAAGTGCATTATTACAATATGGTTCTTGCGGTAAATATCTAATAAATCAATTTTATTAATTTATGATTAATATTAATATTAAATAAAATTATATACACGTAAATTTACATTTCAAGCGTAGCAAGTGCTTCATTTGGATCACAGTGTTTTATTTGGTAGAAAATCAATTCTAAAAGTATATCTACCTAACAAAAAAAAATTTTTTTTATCAAATTTCATTTTATATTTTAAAAAAATCCACATTTAAAACTTACGTCTTGCATCTTTGATCTCATTAGCAATAAATTAAAAAAATCAACGCATTCTTTCTGTGTATTGCCTAATTGTTTTAAAACTTCAATCGAAGCCTTTGATCAAAATATTTATTTATTGCAATTGCTACTAATATTTTAATTATTAATTAAGATTTTTTTAAAATCAAACCTTCCAAATTTGTCTAATGTCTAAATCACCACTCCTTAATAATATCTCAACTATTCGATTAGCACGACAATAATTTTGTGACTGAAGAGACAAATAAAGTAAATTATACAAGTTGGTCAAATGAATTTTACGTATAGTCACTATTTCACCGTCATCTTTTTGAAAAATACTCCAAAAATGGATCGGGTCAATTGGATTCATATTAATATCAGAGGTTCTGATCAGCCGATAAAATTGGGAAACGGGAACGGAACAACTATGAACTCTTTTTATGTTATTATGCAGATCCTTAAAAATGAAGCCTCAAGATTTGGTTTTTTTGTGAAACATAAAAAGTATCAATTGAGAAATTTTCTCAACTGGAAAATTTTCAATTTTTGCAAGGTCATTTTTGTTTTATAATAAAATAATGGAGTCACCCGAGTCTTCTTTTTTTTCATACTCGCCATCAGAATATTCAGATACTTGTTCACTCATATGTTCCTCCCCGCCTTTATACATTAATTTAACCACACAAACGCTTCAAGAAATTGAAAACCTGGATATTCAGCGAATTTCTAAATTTTTCAGTTTACCAATTGAATTATTAACAGAAATATTTTTATACTTACCACCTGAAACACTTTATAATCTCACTTTGGTATGTAGAAAATTGAGAGATATATTATGGTCAAAAACTTTAGACTCGACACAATATATTTGGCGCACAAGTAGGATAATAAATCATCCAAAAATATTGAAGACTCCTAAAAATATGTCAGAACAACAATATATTTGGTTAAAGATTATTGTTTTAAAATGCCAATATTGTAATCATTATATGAAAAATGAATTAATGTGTGGAATTGGAATTTATTGGGAATTTAAATTATTTTCTTGTGATAATTGTATAAAATTAAACACCATCAGGTAGGTAATCATTGTTGATTTTGGATGATTCTTCTTCTTTTTGTTTATCATTAAGTAAAATTTTTTCTTTCTTTTTATTTAGTTATGAAAAATTAATAAATGAATGGAAAATACCTCAAAAATTATTATATTGCCTGCCGTCAATCAATTATTTGACATATAAAGATTATTTGTTAGCTAGCGACTATAAAAATAGATATGACAACAATAATAGTTGCATATATTCTAGTAGATTTTATGAATATCATTGTTTTATTTATGAGGAAGAATATGATGATAATAATTATTATTGCTATAATTTTAATGAAGGTGAAGACTCTAAAGAAAATAATAAAAAGAAAAAGAAAAGAATAAACAAGTATTATTTAATCTCAAATGTAATAAATATAAAAAGAGAATACGATAGAATAAAATCTGATTACGAGAGAGATCAATGGATAAGAATAAAGCATAAAGAAATTAAAGAATATTTAGAAGATGTGGAGAGACTTATTATGGAAGATTATAAAAATTTTTGTAGTTTTTCATAATTATAAATAAGGTTTTGTAAAAGTTTTGATTTTTATAATTATGAACTTTAATATTATATTCCTTATTAATTATCTAAATATTTATTATTAATAAACTAAAATCTAAAAAACATTTTTGTTTCATAGAGTTGTTGTCTATGTAATTTGATCATGCAAATTTATATTATATATTTTATATTGTTTATATATATGTATATATATGTCCTAACTAGAGTAAGTTGGTTTTCTAAGATCAATCTACAATTCCCATTTTTGGTGATAAAAACGTGTAAATAATGCAAGCTTTAAACAGTTAAAAATGTCATCTATGTTATTTATCTCTCGACATAATATAAATTTTTTCGACAGAAAGTTACTAATTATACGAGTTTTCAATCAAATAATCATTAAAATTTTGATCCTTTATTTGAAGATAAAAAGGGTTCGAAAAAGGTCGAGAGATAACAATATGGGGAAAGAAAGATAAACGATTGATTAAATCGCATTAAGACAAAAATAAAAAAATATTATTATCTTTAATTTTTCGCGTGTCGTCATTCCATATCGGTATTTATGCTTACACATTTATTCATCTTTTTTTTTCTCTCTCCCCCCCATCTTTTTCAATTGTCTTCGAATTATATATATATATATAAATAAATACAACATAATATTTTTTCTCAAATATCAAAATTATTTTTTTTTTAAATTTAATAAATCCATAATACATATATGCATACATATATATACAAACATAATAAACATGTCGGATAAATATATTAAACTTGAAAAGATTGGAGAAGGTTAGTTGTAACTTTAACATTTTATAAATATTGAACAAATGTTTTTACATGTAAAAGTCATAACCCATTATTTTTTTTATAAGGAACATTTGGTGTAGTTTATAGAGGAATGGAAAGAAAATCAGGTCTTGTTGTTGCATTGAAAAAGTTAAGGTTAGAAACTCATTGTCACGATGGAATACCATGCACAACTGTTAGGGAAATTTCAATATTAACACAAGCAAATAATAAAAATATTGTAAAGTATGTCGTCGATTCCACTGAAAATTTCACGTGTTTTTTTTTGTGATAAATAAATAAAATTAATGAATTTTATTATTTTTAAAAGATTATTGGACACAATTTATTCTGATAAAAATTTATATTTAGTATTTGAATATCTTGAAACTGATCTAAGGAAGTATCTTGATAACGCTGGTCAGCATGGTTTAACAATATTTAATGTTAAGGTAAAAAAATAATAATTCAATTAATATTATTTTTATCAAGAAAAAAAAATCAAATATTAAATTCTAAATTATTTAATAATAGAAATTCATGTGGCAATTAATGAGTGGTGTTTACTATTGTCATTCTCATCGTATTCTTCACCGTGACTTAAAGCCACAAAATTTACTTATTGACTCAGAAGGAAATTTAAAATTGGCTGATTTTGGGTTAGCAAGAGCATGTAGTGTTCCAATGAGAGCTTATACACGCGAGGTAATATAATCGATGATTTAATTTCTTTTTTCTTTTTTTTTTTTTAAAAAATCAAGTTAGTTCATATCTCTTGTTAAATATAAAGGTTGTCACATTATGGTACCGTTCACCAGAATTATTACTCGGATGTCCACAATATTCAACTGGTGTTGATATTTGGAGCGTGGGTTGTATATTTGCCGAAATTCTTTCAAGCCGTGCTTTATTTAAAGGTATTTATTTATTTTACTATTATTACTATTTATATTCTTAGAAAAAACCAAAATTTAATATATAATACGTATAAAGATAAATTTAACCAACCTGTTAACTAATCAAATTAATTAGGCGATAGCGAAATAGATCAACTTTATAAAATATTTAGGTTTGTATTAAAACGCCTGCTTATATTATATTTGTATAAATGCTATTTTCTCCAATTATTAATAATATATAAATGCGCACACATATATATTAGTACACTTGGTACACCAAATGAAAATATATGGCCTGGAGTTTCTCAATTACCAAATTTCAAAGTACGATTTCCAAATTGGTTGCCAAAATCACTATATTTATTTGTTCCAAATTTGGATATTAATGGACTCAACTTCTTACAGGTAGTTGATTAATTATATTCCTACTAATATTAATTGATTTTATTAAATTAATTTTTTATTCTTTTCTTCTCTAGAATATGTTAACTTATGAACCTAATCAAAGAATTTCTGCAAAAAAAGCATTGCATCATCCTTATTTTGATGATTATAAACAAAAATATGTACAATTAATTAGATGCAATACATGTAATAATACATATAATTAAAATTCTTATTTTTTATTTTTTTTTTTATTTTTTACATAATAAAAAAATTTTGTTACCAAATTAAGAAAATAATTGTACGCGTATTTGTTATAGACACGTGTGAGAGTAGGGTAATACCCGGGGACCAGCGGTGTTACCAGATTTTCGTATGTTGGTCGATTTTGACCCCGGGAGGAATAGATTTGGTGATACCATAAAAACAAAAGACACGTAAACTCACAAATATATATAATTTATAAAAATGCTCAATATCTTTTCTTCAATAGAAAGTTTTAATAAATTGTTCAATAAATTTGTAGACGCTGAGAAAGATGTTTTACATATAAAATTTGTTAGCAAACTGGTAAATGATTTTGCTCATTTTTTTGAAACCTCGGATTCTTTATGATGTGGAAATCAGGATTGGAATGGACCAGGATCTCGTAATTTTTAAGGCTCATTCTATTATTTTAAAAGCAAGATCCTCTTATTTTAATGCTGCTCTATCAAATGACTGGATCAAAAAATCAGATAGTGGAATCATTTTATTTGAAAAGAAAAACATATTTCCAAAAATATTTGATATCATCTTAAAGTAAGTTATTCAATAATTATTCATCTAAATTTACTTGGTAATCAAATATATATATATATATATATATATATATTTGAAAAAGATATATTTATAGCGGAATTCTTGAAATAGATAATATCAATCCAAATGAAATTTTCAAACTTCTTGAAGCATGCGATGAATTAAATTTTTTTGAATTATTTGATGATTTACAGATACATTTAATCAACAAACACAAAGAATGGATCCAAGAAAATCTAGTTTATATATACAAGCTTTTGTCAAAATATGATCAGTACATTATACTTCAAGAATATTGTAATGAACTAATCTCCAATAATCCTGAATTATTTTTCGAATCTGACGATTTCATAACTATCAAAAAATCATTACTTATATCAGTGATAAAGCGAGATGATTTACATTTACAAGAAATAATGGTTTGGGGTTTTGTTCTTCGTTGGGGAATTAACCAAAGTGTTAAACTACGAAAATATTTTACTGAATGGCAAGATTCTGAATTCAATATATTAAAGAATTGGATAATTGATATCATACCATTAATCAGATTTGGCGAGATTTCTTCAAAGGATTTTCATAATAAAATCAGACCGTTCATTAAAGTAATAGATAGTGATATTCATGAAGAACTACTTGATTATTATCTAACTGGTGAATGGAAAGCAAAATCATTAGTCAAGGAGAAAAGAAGAGAGGGAAATTTAATAAATTCAAGGATTGAACTTTTAATATCAAGCTGGATTAATGGTTATGATAAAAAAGTCTATACTGAAAAGAATTTACCATATGAATTTAAATTTAAACTACTTCTCAGTGGAAGTCAGGATGGTTTTTCAAGATCTGTGTTCCAGGAAAGATGTTATGATATAGAAAACACTGTAGCTATTATGAAGCTTGAAAATTCTGGGTGTTAATTGGTGGTTATAACCCTGTCTGTTGGAATTTAAAAGAAAAATCTCCAGAGGAATGTTATTACATTAAAGCAGATAAAAGTTTTGTTTTTCAAATTGGCAAAGACCTATCAGAAGATTTAATGTTGAGCAGAGTTAAATTACCTGTATATTCAATCCGTCATGTTGGCAATCGTCAATCTAATGATGAATTTATTGATTTCAATATGTTTAACGTTTTCATTAATGATTGTGGTGAGGCTTATTTCAATTTTCAACATTATAATGGTAATATATATGGAAAGGTTTTGAATATATATGATGAATATATCCAGTTATTAGAGTATAAAAAAAATTAGTTGTAAATCTTTTATTTTTATATACACAAAATGGGGGGTTTTTTTTGAATACAAATAAATACAATATGTACTTTGTTTAATTGTAATGGCGCAGATTTTATAAAATTTTGTGACATCATATACATACACTTTGTTGGAAAAAAATAAATACACAAAATTTTTTTTCCAACCTTTTTTCAATGTACAAAACCAAAAACATTTAAAAAAATAATAAATAATACCATACATATAGTATACATACACATTAATATTATTTATTTATTTATTTGTTCGTTATTTATTATTTAAGATCTAAAAAAAAAGGATTATTTACCTATACACACCATGTCATCCACAATACAAAACATTTTACAAGAATCACAATCAGAAAACTCGCAGTGGATAACCGATTTACCAGATCCAGAGTTGAAGGAGACAACTGGTTCACCAGACTTCCATTCTGCAAAAACATCAATTGCAAGTACACCTACTACTGATTATTTTCCAGACAGTGATGAAGAAATGTATGACGATGAACCAAGTGATCTTCCAGCAATTCCAATAAATTATAATAGAGGTCGACGAACATCGGTTAGTGCTGAATCGATGGCTCCTAGTGAAGACAAAGATTATGTCAAGATTGTCGTTCCAAAAGCAGAACAACAAAGACAAAGAATAGAGGCATCAATTGCTAATAATTTTTTATTTAAAAATCTTGATGAAGAACAATATAAAGATGTCATTGATGCCATGGCGGAAAAAAGAGTTTATAGAGGCGAAGAAATTATTAAACAAGGTGGAATTGGAGATTTTTTCTATGTTGTAGAGATTGGTAGTTTCGATGTTTATGTTTCAAAATGTGGTGCACCGCCAGAGCAAGTAACTCAATATGGTCCAGGTGGTAGTTTTGGTGAATTGGCATTAATGTATAACGCACCACGAGCTGCTACAGTTATTGCTACTTCAGATTCGGTTCTTTGGGCACTTGATAGAGTGACATTTCGTAGAATTTTAATGGAAAACACTTCTCGTAAACGACGAATGTATGAATCATTCCTTGAGGAAGTTCCACTTCTTATGTCACTGGAATCTTACGAAAGACATAAAATTGCTGATGCATTAGAATCTTTATATTATGAAGACGGCGAACTAGTTATTGAACAGGGAGATATTGGTAATAATTTCTATCTTATAGAATTTGGCGATGCTAGAGTAACAAAATTTGATGATGATGGTATTGAACATGAATTGCCAGGATTGAAAAAAGGGGATTATTTTGGGGGTAAATTTTTTTAATAAATAAATAAGAGATTTAATTAACTAAAAAAAGTTTTATTTTATTATACTAACAAATTATTAACTATTTATTGTTAATAAAAAATTATTTCTTTTTATTTCTTAACTTAGAACTTGCTTTGCTTAATAACAAACCAAGAGCAGTTAACATTCGCGCAAAAGGTAGATTAAAGGTTGCCACGTTGGGTAAAAAGGCCTTTGTTCGTTTATTAGGACCTGTCGTGGACATCTTGAAAAGAAATGGTGACAATTATGAAACCATCACACGTAATGTTCATCAATAGATCAATTTTTCTATTATAATTATTAATTGTTTTTTAAAAAATATATTATTTAGAATTATCACTTTATATCATTATCATAATAATTTGAAAAAAAATTATATGTATATATATATATTACATTCATATTTATACATATTAATATATAAATATAGAAAATACTCTTGGTAATTAATTATTTACCCAAGAAATATTTTCATCAACATCATCAACATCATCATCATCAATAATATTATTTTCATTTATAGAATTCACATTTCTTTTTTTTATCTCTACATTGCTTTATATATTTTTTGATTTAAAAAATGGTGATTTTAGATTTGTTATTATATTGCTAATTAAATATAATTTTTTCTTCTTTTTCTTGTTTATTATAATTATTTACATATATGTATTAGACAATTTTTTTATAAAAAAAAAAATTAAAATTTATAGAAAATCATATGATGGTTTTTATTTTATTAAAATTTTTATATTAATATTTATTGTCTAAACTTACCCAAATATTTATTTTTTAAAATTTTAGTTGCTTTTTAAAAAATAATATATAGAATGAGCATTAAAAGTAATAATGTCTGATGATGATCTCTAATTTAAACTTGATTTCTGCAATATTTCCACAATAAAAACTTGGAATTTATTCTAAACGCGTATATTTAAGTTAATTTTTTTTATTCGTTGTATTACAATCATAATATAATAATAATAATAATAGTATGGACACATTTGCTCAAAGCTTTTTTTCGTCATCTACCTCCTCATCACATACAAGAAAACGAGAACACTCTCCTGAATTAGAAATAGATCAATTAAGAACTGAACGAGCCAAGAAACGTTATGTCTCGGAGTTTTTATCGTCAGAATTAACTGCATTATCCTTACAGAATGATGAAGGTTTTATTAACATTAACATTAATTGTATTTCTCCTTAAACATAAAATAAGATTCTTCTATTGTAACTAAATTATTAAATTATAGATTGTAAAGTTGATATTATGGATATTGAAATAGATCCAATTGATCCCAAAAATGTTTCTTCATCACCACCAAGAAGAAAACATGTTGTAATGGTTACAGACTTAGATGCTGAAGCTACAGATTCAGACCATGATGAAGACAATGATGATGATGGAATGAATAAAGATTTAATCAAGTTACCTCTTGAAATAAAACGATCAATAAAAAAGATACCTAAAGAATTATTAATTCCTATATCGTGCGCATTTTTTAATGGCTAATTCAATGTGTTTAACACTATCTATCTATCCTGTCTATCTATATGCTTTTCTTATCATGTTAAATTTAAGATATATTACTTAATTAATCAATTAAATGACAAAAAATTTTTTTTTAAACATTGTCTTTTAGTGATAATCCAATTAGAACATTAGTCTTGTATCAGCCATCACCTTGGTTACCTCTTGAATCAAATGAATCAAATGAATCAAATGAATCAAGTGATCAAGTAAGTATTTAATTTAGCTGATCAAAGAATTTTCAACAATAACATCTTTATCATTAATGAATCAATGGATGCTTTAATAATCAAAGGAATCAAGACCTAAAACCGCATCAAAGAATAAAGAAAAAACGAGCACAGAGAATAATAATAAATTGTCAACTATTCCTGAAAATCCTGCTTCTCCTATGATTGATATGGATTTAGAGATGAATGTTGAAATTGTAGAAAATATCAAAGAGGTTAACATAATCAAAGACGATCATGATGTTAATAATAAAAAAGAGGAAATGGAATTGTGATTGTATCAGGACGAAAATTTTTTTTTTTTAAAAAAAGACATCGATACATTATTTTTTTTTTTATACACTTTTTTTTTTTCAAGCTAGAAAAAATTTCATTTTTGTTAAAGGAAATTTCTAGGCATCATATGAATTTAAACATCATCATATTTTTTTTTTTGATTTATATTATTATATTATTATTAAGGATGGTTATATATATTTTATTTTTAAAATATAATAAGCTCCATCATTTTATTAATAATTAACAATAATAAAAAGACTATTTGCCGAAAATTTATTTTAGTAGTGATGATGATGAACAATCTACAGCTGGCTGTTCCTTATGTAAACCAGAAATGACCACTTATTTTTCTCTAAAAATATTCGGCCTTCTTTCATCTTATGCCATTGCCAAAAAATATTTGAAGGAGGGCAGCATCAAGATCGCAATGTGACCGAGGTAAGTATTCTGGATTTCAACGGTCCCCACCATTCGCGGCTTGGTAGAACCACCGGTAAATAATCAAAGAAACATAATTAGCCAACCATTTTCAACATAATGTTTTATCGTTGAATCAGGCTATCTTTTAAAGGCTTGGGGTTTTCCTTTCCAAACAATTGAGGCTCCGAACGAATTGAATCAAGCGGAATTTTAAAATGATTCATTATATAAAAAAAGATCAACAAAAGATAAATCAGTCACAAGTGGATAAAATGAACTTCATAAAAGCCTTTGAGCTTTGTAAAAAAGCCATTTTATTTATTTGCAATTATTCGATGCCATTAATATGCTTATAATTCAAGAGGCAGTAAGTGAGAACCAAAGTAAATTCGTAAACTAATTAATTGACAAGCACCAAATTATGGTAAGTTGTTTGCAATTAACTGACAAGGGTAGCCCAAAGTTAAGTCATAATCAAAAGGTTACGTTGCAATAACAAGAACCAGAAACTGTAAAAGGTTTATTAATTCAAAAATTTAGAAATGAAATAAAAAGATAACGAATAAATTTATAGTGGAGATTAAATTAGTCACTCATTGATCCTTTCTTTTAATAATGTATATTAATCAATCAAATGTAAATAAAGATATTGTGTACCAGAATTAGAAATCTTACAGAAGCTTATTTATTGTATAAACAACTAGTTCAATTTATACTCTTAGAGAAATACTGTCTACAACTGGATCAACTGAATCTACAATTAAAGCAATGACTTCATTACATGCAAAACTTTATTTGAACAAGGCATTGACCACAAGGTCACAAAAAGAAAGAGAAACTTTGCATTGAATTACTGAAAGAGCAATCAATGATGCACAACCAAGTCAGATACTAATGACGGATGGGAATGGGGATACTATCAACTTTGTAATTCTTGTACAAAACTGAATCTTATGATATCACTCAAGAATCATGGTACAATTCACCATGTAAAGTTTGCGATTCACCAATGACTATAAGAGTTAACAACAATTGGCAAAATGATGTTTGTTCTGATATCTGCAAATATGTATACTTATCTGTGATAATGGCAAACAACTTCCAACATATTCCACAAAAAGTCAAAAATTATATTGAAATGAAAAATTGCACCAAAGATGAAGGAGATGTATTAAAGACTGTGGAAGCCTATTACATCAAACTTTATGGACAACCAGCAGAAACCGAATATCATCAACAGTATCACACCAATGAAACATGGGCTAATGCTCAAAAAAGGCCGAGAGAAGAGTATGACCAACTAATGGAAAGAACTGCAGATTTCTTCAATGACTATCAAGAAGAATACTCTATTGAACAAGAATATATTGATCAAATGAACCAAGCATTCTGGAATCACAGAGACGCCATTATTGATAAGTTACCAACGCTCTTAAGACTTAAGGAAGCATCATAGACATCAAAATGACCAATTCAATCTCTGCCACGGATGACTTTGTCCATACCTCAACAGTGAACTAATAACCATTGGGAGAAGAATTCTCTGCGCATACATTCAAAGGCAAAATGAAAATCCATGTTACAGGGAACAATGGGATGATGATGAAGACAAGGAAAACACTCAACCAGATGAAGTGGATGAATATCTATATTGTCACAACAAAGATTATCAGGATAGGTTTGAAATTTACCTGGACGGAAACATGAAACAGCTCAAGGAAATTTCACTTTCCTATGAATGTGAGTGATGTGAAAAACATCTAGACAGACGACAAGTTCATCAAGTAGTTAAAAGTGACTCACGTGGAGAATGGGCTAAAAAACTATACCAGAAGGCAACAAATTTGTTCTGTTCCTGTTCCTTCTGATCAGCTAATAAAAATTAGCTTTGATCGAACAGAACACACCCCTATTAATAAGGGAATTTTATCTAAAATCTGTTATTATTATATAACGTGCCTGTAATATTATAATTATGCGTAATTCCGAAAATGCTATGATTTTGTAAATTTTATTATTTAATTATTTAATTATTCAATTTTTGGGGAAGAAAAGAAAATAAGAACTTGTTTATGGATAATCTGTTATGATTATGGTCTTTTACTTTGCAGCTATAAATCTACGGCTTTACGGATGGCAATACGTAACCGTATTACTTTTGTCCAGCAACTCCAGCGGCAAGTATAGTATGAGAAAACAACGGTGTGTAATAAGTATGAAAATGGAAATGGGAAGGAATTTGAAACGACGTAACTTTCATTAATTTAATATTTACCGACTAATTATCAATAATATTTGTTTCTAGTCATAATGTATCATATATAAGATCGTAGTAACAGCATTGAAAACATAGACCAAGATCAAATCAAAAACATCAATGGTGATTCCTCAACATCTTCAAAATCTCCCAGAATCACTTCTGTTTTCTCAAATTTATAATTAATTTATATCTCCTTTTTATAAACGTGTAAGTAAATTAAAAAACATCTCTATGAAATTACCGTGATCTACATTGTACAACAAACTCGAACATTCATTCTCGACTTTCTTGAAATTTATGCAAGTGATATTTATTTTAACATCTATTTTAGCACGTATATATATATATTAATACACACACACACACACATATATATAAACAAGAAAGAAAATATTTATTTAATATTAATTTGATTATTCTTAACAGGGTCCGAGCATCTCATTCGGTCTACAAAGTCGGTTCTTGTTTTTCTTTGAAGATTATCTAATCTGTGGTCCTTTGAAAATCACATGTAAAAAAGAGTACCTTCCTTCAAATTTTTTGGAACATTATATAATCGTCACGAGTTATCGCGTTAAAAAAAAAAAAAATCGAAAATTTAATTGATGATCCGCGAACAAATGAGCGAGTCAGTAAAAATTGACACAAAAACAACTAATTGAGTATATACCTTTGCATGAAAAGCTGTATGGTTGGCTCGGTCTAAAGACCTCCTATGGCTGCGCCATGTGGCCAAATTTCAAAATAGCAATTTAATATATATGTTTCTTGTTCACAAAAATAGTCTATTATATTAATAATTACATCATTTGCATGTTTTTTAATCAATGCAAGACTGTTGATTTTAGTTGTGTTGATTGATGGTACCATTTGTTATATAGTTAAATTTGAAATAAAAATATTGATATTAAGTAATATAAACAAAGTGTATTCCCGCAAAATTTTTGGTGCTAAGTGGGGGTAGTGGGTCTATTTATATGTTTTATATAGTGATAAATTAGACTACTTGTCCACAAAATAATTTATTATATTAATAAT